GCCAGCTCAGGCTGCTAAGAGTATCTGGGGAGTACACAAGAGAAACAAACAGCAACCTTTCCCTCCTTCAAATACAAATGTGGCTTTTAAAAAGTTATGTGTAGATAAGACTTCTCTCTAACCCCCATGGGTGTGCCTTATTCCCAAACTGATGTATGCTATTACTCTATATGGGGACACTTTTTAAAATTTTATGTCCCGTATTTATACATGCAGATTGCATTCAGTTTAGCTGTTGTTCATTATTTCACTGTTGGGAGATTCTAGTTTATTGATTTTTTTTTCTCCTAAGGGGCCTGGAGATTATTTAAACCCTTTCATTATTAGAAACATTGCTGCAGGATGAGCCACTTGGCATACTTATGTGAGAGTATCTCTAGGAAAGAAACACACAAGTGGAATTGCCAGGTCACAGATAATATAAAACATAAAACATATTTCTTAAGCATTTCTGTATCAGAGAGAGAGAGAGAGGAAGGAAGTGAGCAAATGTAGGAGAAAGAAAAGAGAGAGGAGGGAGGGAAGGAGAAAGGGGGAGGAGAACAGCAGAGAGAAGGGGGGGAGAGAGAAAGAAATGCTGGTAACAATAACACAGAACAGTATTTCCAAACAAAGGACAAAGATGTTTATTGTTCATGACACTATTTTATCAACTTGCTTTTCAGATCTTATCAGAAGCTTACATTTTCACTATGTTGATATTTCCTGTTTTAAGCAATGGTTTTTACTTCCAGTGTTTTCAGGCATAAAATTTCTCATTATGTCATGTACATTTTGTCTTCTGTTCTGCAAAACCTTTTCTTATTTCACTATTAGAATGAATTTCCCCTACATGAATTTCTAAAGTTCTTAAAATTCTTCTCCTAGAATTTTTTCTGATCATCTAAAATTTCCTTTTGTCTGTCGTGTGTGGCTGTAATGTCATTGGAATAAATGATCTTTGCAGCCTTTATAAATGATCCATCCTTCTTTCTCTAAAATGTGATTTTCCTTTCATCACATATTACTTTATATCTGTACATCTATTTCCAGGCTCTCTATTCTGCTCTTCAGTGTATTTGTTCTCCAACAGCCCACTAATCTAAATGCTTTTGCTCTGAAACAAATCTTTGCATCTGATACAACACAATGTCCCTTTATTAACTTATATAATCTTGTATGATCTGAAGCCTGCATTTTCATATTTATATTTATAGTAACTTTTAAAATGTTCTGAGAACGCAGTTTGGGTTCTCAGAACATTTAAAATTCTATTGAATACACAAATCATTTTGGGGTAAGTTAGCAAATTTAAGCCTTCCTTTCAAAATATGTCATCTCTCTCAACTAATGTAGGACTGTGTTTAGGCCCTGTTATATTTTTTATCAGTATTTCCCACATTTCTTTTCAGATATACTCCTATGTCTCTTTCATTATTTTAAATCATACCTTTTTAAAGCCATAGTAAGCATTCATATATATGTAGAAAGAGTGAAAAATAATGAAAACCCTGAACAACAATGGTGACTAGTTATGCCCTGCAATAGGAAAGAAAGAAATATAAATAAATATACACATATTTATTTTATATGTTTATATATAAATATATAAACATGTGTGTGTGTGTGTCCTGGCATAGTAGCCAAGTAGCTAAAGTCATCACCTTGCATGCCAGGATCCCAAATGGACACCAGTTCATGTTCCAGCTGCTCCATTTCCTTTCCAGCTCCCTGCTTATAACCTGGGAAAGCAATTGTGGATGTCCCAGGGCCTTGAGACCCTGCACCTGTGTGGGAGACCCCAATGAGACTCCTGGCTCTTGGCTTTGGATCACCTCTCAGTTCAGCCGTTGAGGCCACTTGGGGGGTGGGCCATCAGAAGCAGAATCTTTCTCTCTGTCTCTCCTTCTCTGTGTGGGCTTGCCTTTCCAATAAAAATGGAAAATCCTAAAAAAAAGCAATACGTCCAAAGTAACATATGTAGCTATAGGGTTGGAGGGACATGCAATTTTGAATTCAGACCTTCCTCAACTCTAAGCTTAGGTTGTTTCTAATTCCACATGCATGTTCAGTTTTGCACTGACAACAGTTCTTGCTACTCAAAATTTGGGGTTATCCTGGACTAGATCCTCAACACAAAAAAGAACTTTAGGAAAAATTTGTGACATTCTAATCATGTTTATCTCATGCTAATATCCCACTGCTTGCATTCCTTAGCTTTAACAATTATACTCACACAATTTCAAATATTATAGGAAACTAGGAGAAGGTAGATAAATGTTCAATTTTTTGTAAATTTAAACTGTTCTAAAATAAAAAGTAGATTCAAAACTTAAAATAAAAATCACAGAGGGGCATTTAACCTACCCATTAAAATGTCTGATTCCACATCATACTACCTGCCCCTAGTATGCGGCTATTTCCTCCAGGTTCCTGGAGACTTTCCTAATGCCAGCTCTCACAGGCAACACTAATTCAGAATTGCCCCGGTATAGTACCTGCCCCATACAAGAAACCTGGGATGGATTTCCTGCTTTGTCAAGACCAAGCAGCCCAACCACTGTGAGGATTTGGGGAGTGAATCAATAGATGATAGCTCTCTCCAAGAAATACTTGACAATGTTAGAAGAATGCTCTCAAAAAAATGACTTACATAGGCTTTTGAAATCTGAAAGTAAAAAAGAAAATGTTCCATGAAAATGAATTTTTACAAAAGGTATGCTCTGCTTTGAAAGTTGATTATTTTTACTGATTAATTTTTAAAATTATCAAGTTTGAGTTTAATTTATGAAAAGACTTCTGGAATAATTTATATTCTTCCATTTTTTTTTCTTCTAGCTAAGCATATAAAACTATAGTCTTAAAAAATCTAAGGTGATCTGGCTGTGATGGACCAATTTTGTAACAGTTGATTTAAAAAAACTTGTAACAGCAATAATTACATTTTGAGGATAAATAGAACTGCATGATTTTGGAAGCTTTCGGTTACTTAAAGAATAAGAACTACAAAAGTAATTTTCCTAAGTCACTTGCGCAGAGCTGTCTTCCTGGTTATCTATGTTTTCTGCTCTTCCCAACTCGGAACCATTATTTCAGTAATGTTTTCAAAGGAGATTTTATTTTGATAAAATATAGAACAATTACTGATCTAACATCATTTTAAATGAATTCACACTGTCAGTAAGAATCAAAGTTCATTTTTGCAAAGCTGGTTCATCTCATGAGCTTAAATAAAAAGTTAGTATATTTTAAATCTTCAGATGGAATGAGTACCCCCAAGCTAACTGAATCATAATATCTCCAACTTCTAAGGATGGAGAAACAGACTCCTGGAAAAATCCAGTCACTTCCTCACAATTGGGAACATAGTTGCAGCACAAGAGCTAGCCCTAAACAAAGACCAAAACATTGGAGTGGTGTTGTGCATCACGCCCAGGAGCACTGAGAAGTCTGAGCGACACCTTTACTTTGTCCATCTCTATCCATTTCATTGCTGACACATGCTTTTGAACAATCATTTTATACTGTTTGAACATTCAAGATTCTCTCTGCAATAAAATCACCACCAAAACAATGCATTCCTCTCCCATTAATATTTCAGCACAATCAAGGCCTACAGAAACTTCTAAATTCCACTCAACAGTCCGCGACACACCAAAGCTTTTTGCCTTTTCTTTAGAGAAGTGTGAGGCCAGAGTATTTTATGCATTTTATCAGTTTCTTTCTGGAGTGTATGGACTGTCAATTAACTCACAACAGTAAATACAGGAAGCCTTTAGGAATTTGAGAATCTTTCATTTCTGTTGTTTTTTTTTTTAAAGTACACACACACATACACACACACACACCTTGCACTGAAATATCACATAAATGCCATTGTTTGGTTATAACTGAGAAAAAAAGGCAGACAGGTACTGGAGGAACATAATCTTTCTCAAAAGCAGCAAGCAGTTAATCCACACATGTGCAATCCACTAGTCCCCAGTCATCCTAGATGGTATAATGACACAGAGATAATTTGACAAAAGAAAGTGTATAAAACAAAGTTGCTATGGACCAAAACAACCATATTGATTTTTAGCACAATTCACACAAAGAAACAACAATTTTCTAAATGGTGTGAGCTAAAAGTGACAGATACACTGCAAATGTGGAGTGAAGGAAAGAATGGACAACTACATCAGTAAGCATCTTAATGTTCTTTTAAGTCATTTATTTTATCAAGCTGAAGAGCTGAGATGGCTGAATTATGCTGAAGTGCCCTTATCTAACATCTGAGACCCTCATTTAGAGACACTAAGAACTCAGTCGGAAGTCCAGGTATCCAAGAGATCATGACAAAATAAACCCTTATAAGCTGGTACACTTTCAACAGGATTTGACTCCCATGGTCAAACAGCAAACTCTTATGTGATTGGCTAACGGGTTTATTTTAACAGTTGAAAGGTTAAGAGTCACCACTTTACCTAATTGGCATCTGGGAGATGAATCTATGTTGAAGGTTTTTAGGGCATTTGGGGCATACCGTTGGAAAGCAGTTCTCACAAAGGGGCTGGTTATGTAGAAAAGAAAACCCTCCTGGTATTATTTCTGCCCCCTAATTCCTTCACTGTGGATCACCACTTTACCAACCCTTGGACCTCCCAATTTGATGAACCAATGCTATTGCCCAGTCTTGGACTGTGAACCTTCAAGCTCTTAAGTTCAGACAAACCTACCTTTCCATGTGATTCCTCTCAAACACTTTAAAGATGAAATTTTGCCCCTCAACCCTTTGAATATCTGCCCATTTCTTTAAAAAAAAAAAACCCTTCAATTGTTATTTTACACTTTTCAACTAACCTCTCTCTATAAACAACAGACTTCTCTAAACTGCTGTATAAAATACAACATTTAAAAAAATACCATTCAGTATTCTGCAAGAAGATAGTTCTTCTTAAATATCCTTAATCACACTAACTGACTTTGAAGTCACAGATTCCTGTGTAGAAGCTTGAGGATGAAAACCATCCAGGACTTACCATGGCCCCCTCACTTGTCCTTTGGGCAACTTCCCGCTGCAGTCTGGCCACCGCCAACTTCTCCCTGGAAAAACAAAATGCATGCTTAGTTATCCATTCCCAGGGTAGAGGCTGTGAAACATTCCTTTATGGTCTCCAGAGGAATCCTGTCCTGGTTCACTTCCTCCACCATATCTTCTATAAAAATTTTAAGTGATTACTGCATTGTTTTCATGCAATGTCATGGAAGATTTTCATTTTTTGTTTTGAAATTTCTCATGTCAAAAGTTGAATGCTGAATAAGAGTTTCAATTAAATTCATTAACATGTCATTTATAAATGAATGTTCCATGGATAAAATAGGTTAGCTGTTTTTTTCTATATCTACTCATTTATATAAAATTTTATTTATTTGATTTGTTGTTCCATGCCAACGATCTTGAGAAACTGCTGGGTTTTTTTTTTTTCTTACTTGCTATTTGTTAAATTGTTTATATAATGGAGTGTTAAACTTATGACTGTGAAACCAACCAAAAGTATGACAATGCAAAAATTACTTTAAAAAAAGAAAGAAGGAAGGAAGAGAGAGAATGAAGAATGCAGGAAGGGCATGGAAGGGAGTATCACAATGCTCCTAGATCTGTATTGTGGAATGTGTGTAATTTGTTCAGCTGATATAAGTAATTTCTTTTTTTAAAAAAAGCAAACAGTACATATTTCTATTAAAATAGTAATTAAAAAGTCATGTGTAGGGTTGCTATTAACATTCACCCAAAATATGCCTATGGTACAAAGTGCATACATGAGAAAACAGACTCACAGAAGCTAAGTGGCAAACCAAGTCCCATGATGAGAATGGGAGTTCTTAGATGAAAGTTACGCTCTTTTACTTCAAACCCTAAATGAAAATTCATTTTTTTTCAAAAACGAAGAAATACAAAAGTATGGACTCAAACATAGATTTTCTTCCCTAGTATTCTTTAACAATGAGGTATATTTTTGTAGACTTGACATTGTTAATTCTGAATTCATTTACAATATAGCAAACAGTGGCTCAGGTGACAGCAGCCCTCCGCAGTTGTGGTGACCCGCTTGTAGAGAGTACCTGAGCCAGGTCGGACCCAATACCCGGGACTTGACCCATGGGCACCATTGCCACACGGTGACCAAGTCCTGGCTGCTGGCCGCCCGGCAGCAAGCTCTAGGATTTTTGGGGTATGTGTTTGCTGCCTAGGGACATCCATGGATAAGGCCAGTGTGAGTGTAGGTGAGGGATGAATTCTGGCTGATTCTTAGCGATGGGGGTCTTGGAACTTGCTTGCAAGCATGGAGACTGAGATCTGAGGGTTTAGAGGGGAGATTCCATAAGTTATATTTGGGCCAGACTAATTCACCAACCCACATGGGAATCCTGAGATGGGCTGTTAACATAGAGCATCACTGACTGCCACATACCAGTCCTCATGAAAGTTATGGCTGAGGACCTGTTTGGCAGGGTTAGGTACCAGTACCTGACCAAATGGTGGAACAGGGGTTGTGTCACACTTGGTAGGGTCAGGACACTAACCAGCATGCGAGAAAACCAGATCTGGGAGTAGATTCTGTGGGGGAAGTACGGGCCCAACCCTGCAAAAATACAAGTCCCATTGGTTAGCTCGTGAGTTGGGGTGGTGATGGGTTGAGCTAGCTGTGCCCATGGAACCTGCTATCACTTACAGGTAAAAGAACAGACAACAGTCTGGGCAGGTGAAGGCAGCAGCACCCAAATGTGCATCCTAAAATAGGATGTGAGGTGGGCCGAGCTGCAACTGGAAGGGGGCAGGCCAGACAGGGCCAAGCCAACCTTAACTCACAAGGAAGAACAGAAATCAAGATGGAGCACAGGTCATGCCAACTTAGGCTCTTACACTGACTGGTCTGCATGAGAAAGAGATACTAGGACACAACAATGAAGAAAAAAGCCAAAACAGCTAAGGGGCTATGCCAAACTGGGTCAGAGCAACCACTGGTATGCATGCAATCTATGGCTGGGAACAGGCCTGACTGAGGAACTAAGAAGACACCCTAACTGGGTTGGGGTTCCTATTGGTGAGTGCGGGAGCTGGAGTGGGGGCTGCGTTCTGGTCTGGACATGGCTACAGTCTCCCTTGGCACAAGCGTGGCCTGGGACTGAATGCACCAGGCCAGGCTAGTCTCCAGGACCATCTGGTGCTCTGGAGGACCAGGGTATAGATGTAGGTTGGACTAGGCTAGGTCTCTGCCCCTGTGGAGCCATGGGTGAGCTGTGTCTGGGTATGGATGAGCCTTGGCTGGGCTGAAACATACAATGGAAGAACCTGAATGGGTTGAAGACCAGTCAGGGAAGGCTACTATTTCTGCTAGAACTAAGTAGGGTTGGCTCAAGGACCCACTGGTATGTGCAAGATCTGGCATTTGGAGGTTCTGATGGAGAAGCCTGGACAACTTCTCTGACAGGACACAGTCCCTGCAGGTGAGTGCAAGAACCACGATAGGGAGCAGCCCAGATCAGGCCAGGTAGAGGTACCCACCAGCATACATTTGGCATAGGTTGGGAGACAGAACAGGCTGAACCAGTTCACATCACCCACTGGTGAATCCCAGCACCAGAACAAAGTGTGGGTCAGGCCAGGTATAGTTGCAACACATACCAGTGCACATTACATCTGGTATTAGATGCCTGATGGGCTGTGCTAGGCTGTAACCCTCACCAATGTCAGCTGGAATTGGGGGTGGGCCTGGCTGGGCCAGGCTGCAATACCCACTGGCAAATGCCAAGGTGAGGTGGGCTGTACCAGACTGGACCGCAGCACTCAACCACCACACATGAGAATCAGAGAGGGAGGGGGCAAAGCTGGTAGCAGGAATGTGGAGGGCTCCCCTGATGGACAGCTACTCCCACTGGAGAGCTGGGATAGGGGCAGACCAGACTAGGCAGGGCTACAACACCTGTGTGCCTCATGTGAGCTGGTTCAGGGAAAAGCCTGGCTGGGCTGATTGTTCCTACTGGTGCAAGCATAAATTAGAGTGGGTGAGCGTTGGTTGGGCTTTGCTGCAGCATCAGCTGGCAAAGGCTGGCACTGGGGGCTAATCCTGTCAAGTTAAATGGCAGAACCACCTGGAGAGTACATAATCCGGGAGTGGGAGTGACCATTTGGGTTAGCATTCCCACTGGAGGGCATGAAAACCAGGATTGGGACAGGGATGGCTAAGACAGAACAGCACTCGCCAGTATGTGTATGGACTGGATAATAGGGCACGTTGGGTTGCACTAGGTTTCAATGCCCATTGACATGTACAAGAGCTAAATGGGATGTGGAACAGACTGAACAAGTCTGCTGTACATACTGGCATGCATGGTAACCTCGGTAGGGAGCAGGCCTGGTGGGACTTGTTGTGGTTCACTCCAACTAGGCTGCAGCTCCCACTGATTTGTGGGAGGGCTGAGGGTGTGAGGGGCAGAATCAGGCTGGACTACAACACCCACTGGTTCAAGTAGAAGACAGGGCTGGAAACAGAACTGACCCAGCAATTGCAACCACCAGCAGAAGCATAAGCTGATTGGGACGAGAGACTGTGCTTGACCCTGTACTGGCAAACACACGCCAGAATCAGGTCTGCGATCACCTCAGACAAAATTTTTCTGGGGATCCCTTCAACTGAACTGTTGATCTTAGAACCCCAACCATGAAGCAACTATGTCAGCCAGTGGATTGTGAAGAGATTTCATTGTGTTTGGAGCAGGGCAGCAATCATAACTGCTGAACTATCAAAAGTGCATATGCAGGACCCTTGGAGCTTGCCCCACATCGGGGACCTGGGGTGGGTGGGAGTCTGGGTGGGGCTTTTCCCTTTATCTCTTCCTTAGCCCCAGATACAGAAAAAATAATAATAGTTTTAGTGTGGAAACGATGGTCTTACCCACTTTCCTGTAGCCCATAACCTTTTGTGCCCTAATCAACTATGTAAAGATGACCAAAACAAAACAATTAAAAATACATAGGAAACATTTTTCAAAACTGAATGCTTTTGTAAACTGATAGAGAATTGCACTTCAGACAATCTTCAACTAACTTTTGAACACCCGATAGAAGGTGAAATAAGGATACGCAAACTCCCCCATTATACCCACAATTTCCACACGTATTTCCCCTGGAAACCTTCTACAACTATCTAGATGTGAAGGCATTTGAGTTTCCCATCCCTGTTAAGTCTTTCTGCTGCACAGGGTCCATAATGTTAAGGCAGAGGATGCAACTCCAGTGTGGGTGAGCTAGAGCATTTCTTCTCCTTTAACTGTTTTGGTCTTGGAAACATGCTTTGAGTGCCTGGAAACTAAGCTGCCTACTAGCAGCAATAGTTTTGGGTAAATATGCAAGAACACAGGATTTGAGAAGGAAAGCTATTATGAGGAGATGCTTGGCATGGTCAAGTTGTACAGCCTAAGGCGGGACCTGGGCATGCACCTGTGAAAAGATATAACAAAGTAGACAGGAAGGAGCAAGAGGGAGAGGCAAATCACACACCTGTTTGCTGGGCCAAGCAGGGCACTGTCCAGAGTAAAAAGGCAAAGACTTTTAGGAGGTGAATATAACTGATTTTCTATTTCATGAAAATTAAACATACACATTTTATTTCTTTTTCTAGACACTCTAACATATGTACATTGCAAAATACTGAAACTCAAAGAAAGCAGAAAATCATATCCTAACCTCTTCAATCAAGCAATTCCACTATCAAGCATAATCCAATTGCAAGTGCCAGTATATCCTTAGCAAAACAAACGAACCAACCACATACTACAGCACTATACAAAAGTCATGTAAAGTGAATTAAGAAGTTCATTTTAATTTCACAAAACCATAAACCATGACAGTTCTTCTTCTTCTTTTTTTACATATACTTATATGCTTTCTGTGATTTTTTTCCAAGACTCCTTGTGTTACGAGGTTCAAAGAAACACGATTTGTAATACCCTTAAGGTTTAACATACATGCTCAATAACAGAACAAGTAAGTAACCTTTGAAGTATTCCAATATGATTATGCTAAAGAACTTACAACGAAT